GCCCCCTTTTGAGATGATGGAAGATCTGTATGGGCAATCCCTTGCCCTTGGTGTGAACGTTTGTCTAACTTTCTTAAATAGTAACAAGAGTTTCTTCGAGCGACAGCAGCACTTCATTCCAATCATCCATCCCGGCAGGTACTTCCAGTCGTTCTACTCGGCGCCTCACAAGCGTCCGCCCATGTGCCTGCAGTATGCCGTCTGGGCCATGGCTTCGAACGGACATGAAAAGTATTCCCAGTATCACGAGATCTTCTACAAGCGAGCTCGGCAATACGCAGACGCAGATGAGATGAGAGGCTATGGCGAGCACTTTTTGACGGTTCAGCATGCACAAGCTTGGGCGCTGATTGCGACAGACGAAGCGAGGTGTATGTATTTCACGAGAGCCGCCATGAGTTCAGCAAAGTGCGTGCGTCTTGTAGAGATGATGGGTCTTCATCGCATCGATGGGGATGGCCAGGAGATGGCTCCAACGCTCGCGCCGCCAACGTCGTGGGTTGACCTGGAGGAGAGAAGGCGGGCGTTTTGGGGAGCTTACTGCATCGACTGTCACGCCAGTATCTCAACGGGCTGGCCGACTTTGATCGATCCGAACGAGGTAAGTCTTTCCTGGCATACTCGAGACAAAATCGCTAATCCGATAGATTACCACTCATCTGCCATCGTCCGAGGAGGCGTTCAACTCAGCTCGTGAAGAGAAGACGTCTACGATGCAGGACGCCTTCAAGGGGGCGTCGTACTCCACGTTCGCGGGCGCCGTCATCATTTGCTACGTCTTCAACATGCTCCTGAAGCATGTTCACTGGGAGAGACCCAACGACCGACCCGGAGACTTCGAGTACGGCGAGTTTTGGAAGCGTCACAGGGACATTGATAATCTGTTGTCAAGTGCCTTCATGTTCTTGCCCGAACGCTTTCGTCTGCCCCAGAGCATGAAAGACCCAACGGCCGTCCACACGAATCTCAACCTCCATGCATCCATCATCTGCCTGCACCACGCCGCGATCGATAGGATAGAGCAACACAAACTGCCTGAACAACTCAAGACTGCTTCACAACTCCGACTGCGTACTGCAGCCGAAGAGGTGGTCAACATCGTCAAGCTAACAAGTCACACGAACTCCGGCTACGTAAGTCGACGACCGCCTCTGTCGCCCCTGTTTTCTTGTTGTCCTAACGACCTCTCATAGAAAAGCCCTCTCGTTGCTCTATCGCTGTACTCAGCTGCCTCCGTGTACGTGTACAATGCCAAATGCGACCCACAAAACGGGCTGTCGATGGCAGACTTGCAGAATCTCAAATTCATCGTCCAGGCGATGGAAGGCATCGGGCGTCGACACTTGATCACCCAGGCGTTCCTCCAGCAAGTATTCATGGACATACAGCGTAACGGTTTATCGGGTATCATCGACGTGCCCAGCCTGAACAACTACAAAAACACGTTCGGCTGGACTTGCTCCAATATTCCCCTCTTGGCACGAAGCTCAATATCGAAGCACACCGAGATCCAGCCCCCTCTCCCTGGCAGGCTGCCTCTCGGCAATCCTAAAGGCACTGCCTACGAAAATTATCCGAGAACGCACGAAGGGTGCAACGGACCAGTGCCCCCTCAGTCGGGTTGCCCTTCCAACTTAGGTATCTCGCAATCCGGGGTTTCTCTCACAGAACCAATGTCAAAACCGAGTGTTTCTCTCGGATACAACGCGAATGGGGCGCCTCCTGAGAACTCGTCAAATAAGAGGAGACGTACCTCTCTAACGACCGGCCCTGAAGTGGACCACGCCCAGGCAGGCCCATTCAGCGGCACATTCCCTTCAAATAAGAATATGAACAACGCGCCGCCTGCATCGCGCAATGGAATCGACGGCGTTGGAGGCTTTGCAGTTGGGTTCCTAAGAAACACGGGTATGATGCCCAAGAGCGGGTCATCACCGCATCTGACGCTGCCTCATCGCACGAACTCAACATCGCCGTCGCCGCCGTCTGCTTTTAACAAGAGCACCCCCTCACATTCGGTAGCCAGCAGTAGCACTACGCCTGGATACGGACCGGGAAGTACTACACCGGAAGACGGTGTCCAGGGCAGCAATGGCAGCGGCAGCGGCAGCGGCAGCATCATCAATGGCACGGGTGGCAGTACTAATACGAACGGGAACGTCAATGAGATCATTGACATAACCAGCATCCAAGCACAAGTGTCGGGCGCGGCGGCGTCGACATGGGACTCGAGGGGGCTGCAATATGCACCCAGCACCGACCCGATATCCTTTATCGATTTTGAGGCTGTAGGTGGCATCGATCCATGGAGCATGCTGACGAACATGGGCGATATGAGCTGGACCAACCCCGGCGGAGGTGAGGACACGACAGTCACAGGTGTAGATCTAGCAGGGGCAGGCGGGAAGGAGTAGAAGGCAGAGACAAGACGAGCAAGGCAGTCTCCAAAGCTCGCCAGAAGAAGTCGACCGGCTCTGTCGCTGGGCTTCTGTTCTCTAGGAAATGAATGATGTCTACGACGGCGGATGGTTCGGCAGGCATAAAATGGAATCAAAGGGGTCTCGGGCGGTGAGCGGTAATGGACGCACGCCGATGGATGGCGGACAGGCGTATAATGAACCTGGAATGCTGTATTGGCATCAAACAATTGTAGATATCACGTATCGTGACACGACGCATCTCACTCTGAATTCCATCTCACTCTGAGTACAAGAAGTCATCGCCAAAGTCGTATTGGACATACAACATGTGCATCGTTGACTGCCGAAAACAAGGTCCAAAGAAGCTCCTGACAATCCGATGTTTCTCACCCTCCCCAAAAGCCCAGACTCCGGTTTGCGGTTTGGCTCTTTGTCCTGCGACAAGGCACCGCCGGAATCCTTCGAGGGTCGTCAGCGCACGTGATCGATGGAGTGAACCGAACCCATGACGCCGGCCTCCTCTTTTTTCTCCTCCCTCCCAAGCAGCAGTCAGCGAGAGTCCACTGAGCAGCGCCATATTTATCATCCATCCATCGCTCCCCCCGTCCTATCTTTCTTTTGCCGAAACCGCACCGAATTCCACCCACCCAACTCTCCACTTCCCATCGTCACAGTCAGTTCAACCTCCCGCGAAGCCGCAAATCCAACCGGGAACGACGGGATGCAGAGGAGCCGCGCACTTACGCCCTGCACAAAGGAATAAATTAGACTATCTACCTAAGGTACACCTACCTGGGCTGAGGTCTACCTTACGTCACTTCGGCGCGTTGCGTTGCGCTGCGCTGCGCGGTGCACGCACGCGTTGGCGCACCCTACACCACCACCACCACAGCACGACCACCGCCGCCTGGGAACCCCCAAAACACCAAACAAACTCATGGACCCGCCGCTCAAGAGCCCCGGCTCGGCACATAGGGATACCTCACCCAGTCCCCCCGTGCCGAACCGGATCCGGCGTAATACAGCCTGCACCAGTTGTCGAGACTCCAAGGTGGGTTCACGTTCCTTTTGACTCCCTCGATGAATTAGTTACACTCTCCCTCTCTGTTCCCTCAGCCATGACTGCTCCTCCCCGCATGTGCCCTGTACCTGAGCGATGCTGCTCCGGATTCACTTCCAATTGGTCTTCCGACGTCGCCGTGTCATGCTCAGGTACCACGTTATCAAACCCTCAGCCTCCCAGCCTGTCTCATTTGCCGTGTAATACATATACATACTCTCAAGACAAAAGTACCTCGTCGCTAATTGGAGCCGTTGGAACAACCGCAATAGGTGAAATGCAATGCAAGCCTGACGCCGAACAAGCCGTGCCAGCGTTGCGCGAAGCTCGGGATCCAATGTGTCATTGACAAGTCCCACAAGCGCATAACCAGGAGAAGGTTGCTTGCTCTTCCCTCCCCTTTCCCCTGCCGTTTCTCTTCAAGTTCATCTCAAATGAGGCAAGGAACCATGTAATCTGATGCGTGCTCGTGTGACCTTGGCAGTAAGCTCGAACAACTGGAGAAGGAGGTCCAGACGATCAAGAATGCCGTCAATCCCAGTCCCGTCTCCGCCGCCGGCGTGCTTCCCCCGGCCGCCCTTCCGCTGCCGAGCCCGAGTTCGGCGTATCCCGCAAGCGCATTCGCGGACCGGCCGCCTCCGAGTGCCGGTCGGGTGAGTCTCCCTGCGTTGTCGCCTGTTCCTCACTCCCGGACGGCAGAGCAGGTCCCCACGCCGACGTTGACGTCGCACACGACGCCGACTGGACCACCGCGGCATCCGGCGCAGCCAAGGGCTTTGGGCTCTAAAGTGCTGTCGAGTGAGGATATTGACTTCTATTTTGACACGTAAGTTCGCCTCCCTTCCTGTTGACGTATGTCGCAGCGCTGATGAATGTGCAGCTATTTTGAACATTTCCACCCGTACTTCCCCATCGTACGGTCTCAGGACCCGGATAAGCTGTACAAGTTAAGCCCCATACTGTTTTGGACAATCATTGCGGTATCGTCGAGGCGGTACGCCAAGGACCCCGGCCTCTTTCAATTCCTGGTTGAAAACCTGCCAAAGGAGGTGTGGAACGCAGTGTCGAACCCGCCGATAAGCATATCGACCATCAACGCGCTGCTGGTCCTGTGTACATGGCCGTTGCCGACAATACGATTCCTAAACGACCCGTCCGCTTCGTACGTGGCGATCGCGCAGAATGCGGCGTTGCTGCTTGGCCTACATACAGGGCGTGGCACCCATCCCGAATTCTGCATCGGACCGAACCGTCAGACGGACATCACGGACGAGGAAGCGTGCTTTGCCTGGATGGGATATAATATCCAGGCGCAGAGGTATGGTTGAGTGTCGAGTGTCGAGTCGTTGGTTGGCTGACTTGAAATCAGGGTGGCTTCGAGCAATGGCTTGCCCCCGCCCGCAGGCTTCTTCAATGAAGCCGTCAACCGGGCCGCCGGTGGCAGGTCTTTGCCTGATGCTTTGGGGTACTTTGGTCTGTTGTATGAGATGCAAAAGTTTTCGAACCGACTTAACCGCACCATGTTTTCCGTGGCCGAGGAGGGCGAGGGCGTTTCGGACTCTGTCATACAGCTGTTGGAGGATGAGCTGAACAAGCTGAGGCAGCTGCAATCTCGGCACAACACGGGTACGCGGAACCTTTGCCATCAAACGAACATGACTAACAATACCGCAGACCTGGACCTGTTTACCATTCTGGCTGTGCAGTTCGAACTCCAGTCGTACTACTTCATACCCCTATCAACCGCCGACAAATCCACCTTCCGCCACAACGTGAACCGCGCATACAGCACGGCGCAAGCCATCATCAACCTCGCCCTGCGCCTCGAGAGCTCCCAGCGGTTCCTCTACCACGCGCCGCAGCACGTCTTCCGCACGGTGCTCGACGCCGCGACGGTCGTCTTCGACGTGCTCCTCTCGGGCCACGCGACGGACCTCGAGCTCGCCAACGCGGAGGTCTCGATCAAGAACTCGCAGGAGGCGCTGCGCCGGTGCTCCGTGCAGGAGGGCGACTTCGCGATGCGGGTGCTGCGGATGACGGAGTCGTACTGGAGCCTGCGGCACATCATGCCGCCGCTCGAGGCGCCCATCTCGCGGTATCCGCACCGGACGGGCGCGGTGCTGGCGTTCGGGACGCTGCGGCGGTGGAAGAAGGAGCTGGACCAGGCGAGGATGGGGCAGCAGCAGGGCGGTGGCGCCGGAGGGCAGACGGGCGGAGGGGCCGGAGGAGGAGCGGGAGGAGTGGGAGGGGGCGCGGCGGGAGCGACGCGTGAGTGTAGGGGACGGACGGCGGTGCTTGGGGGCAGTGTTGCTGACCTTGCGGCAGCGGCGGCGACGTATGCGAATAACGCCAACGTGTTGCCGACGAGTGATTTGCTACAGGATATCGACTGGTCGATGCTGATGGACGACTTTGACTGGACCGCAGGGGGCGCGGGGGAGCCCAACTTTTTGGGGCTTTCGTAGGGGGGGTTTTCCTTTTCACAGAAATGGGTTCCCGAGCACAAGCCGGCGTATGGGTGAGTTCAATCCGCATGATTTCGAGTGGGTGTGCGTTGTTGTTTTTATCCCTTCTTGTTCTGTCGAGAACAGACCGAGTAACAGATGGTTCGAGGGCAACTCGGTGGTATTAGGTGAAGCGACTTAAGTAGGTGGATGAAATGAAAAATGTACAGCTTTAAAGACGGCTCTCTGGTGATTTGAAGACATTGTGTGAAGAAGGAGCCCCGGGCATTCAAGTCCACCTCCTCTCGCAACTTCCAATCCACAAACCCCAACCCAAGACCTTGCCGTTGATGGCTTCCGCAACCTGCTCTTTCGTCGCCCGGGCCTCGAGCATCGACTTGTCCAGCGGCTCACTCAGCGCCACAACCTCGAAGAAGTCTGCAAGTGTCAATACGCAATCAATTTCAGCAGGATTTCGTGGCAAAAGGACTCACATCTGTGAGGCCCATGGTTCATCAGCGGCCTCGGAGCAACGTAGACACCCTCCCTCCTTCCCTTGCCCCAATGAAAGCCGCCCTTGAGCAGCGACTTGCTCTCATCTTCAATCTCAAAATCCTTGGCCGTGACCTCCCTCCTCTCAGACGGGATGCCGCCATATACTCTACATTCTCACCGTCAGCAAAACCGTGTCTCTCCCAAATGCAATCAGACAACACAAGAGGTTCTCTTACCCGTGGCAGATTGGCGTCGGCAGAGGCGCGTCCGGGTCCTCGGAGACGATGAGCCACTCCTTGACGCGCGCCTCGACGTCCTGCGGAGCCGTCCACGCGAGGGCGGGGATGCGGCCGCCGCCCTCGACGATGTACTCGGGCTTGAGCTCCGCGGGCGAGGGCCCGCAGTCCGGGGACGTCACGGTGAGGTTCTGCTCCTTGTGGGCGGCGAAGGCCGGGGAGGTGTAGAATGCCTTGGCGTCGTGGCCGCGGGAAGATTTGAGGAGCCAGCTGAGGGTGACTTCGACGTAGGGGTTCATTGTGGTGAGTGGCTTTGGGGTGTGGTTTCGGTCCTTTTATGAGATGCGGTTGAGGATGGATTAATGATGCTCGTTGGAACAGCCTGTGAGCGGGAATTGATGAGGTGTCGCTCATTGAGGGAGCAAAGAGACGGGACGAGGGGATACAGCACTTTATTATAGACACAGGTTTCAATGAAGCCCGTTTAAGCTTGTTTTCTGTAACGCGAACACAAATCCGGACGCTTGGTGCTTATCTCCAGACTCCTGGGACTCGAACATCAGACGGTCTTACAAGCCTCTCAACTCCGGGTAGCTTTCGCTTCGGTGCCGAATCGGGCATGTATCGGCCGGCCATCTTACTCTTCGATTGCGTAGGATTTCGAAACTCCATCTCGCGTTGTCCCTACGCCATCTACCATCAAGTCTGTCAATTTCTGGCCCAAAAGGCATATGTGCATTTCTGGAATGTTGAAAGAGAGTGTGCCCACCACGACGGCACGGGAAGCAAGATCGGTTTCGGCATCGGGGTCGAGCCTGAGCTTCCCGGCTTGGCAACTGCTTAGTACCCTGTAGCCTGCCTGCCTGCCCTACAGCGAAGTGCCGCCCCCAGCAATACCCGACCCCTGTACAACCGGTGGCGACCAATAGCGAGTTGTACCACAATCAACTTTCACGCTACATCAACACCTGAGATTCAACATCGACAGCTAGCTTCTTCCGCAGCCACGAGATGTCGACCTATGCCCGCAGTGGCATTCTTCAAGCCCTCTCAAGGCCTCGGTCACATGGTGGATTGTTGGCGCCCTTCAACGCCACGATATCGACGCGTCTACACTCATCACGCTCGTTCCCTGCCATCTTCGTTCGTGGCGGCACGTCCAACGGCCTGATCATCCACCGAAAGGACCTGCCCCCGCAAAATGATTGGCACACCGTCCTCCCGGCCGCCATGGGGTCCCCAGATCCTTACGGGCGACAGTTGAACGGCATCGGCTCCGGCATTTCCTCAACCTCCAAGATCATCGTACTATCACCGCCGTCCCGGCCCGATGTTGATCTGGACTACACCTTCGTCCAGGTCGGCATCAAGGATGGCAGCCTAGACATGGCAGGGAACTGCGGCAACATGTCGTCTGCCGTTGGCCCAATGAGCCTGGATGAGTCTCTGGTCGACAATCCTGAGATCGAGGAGCTTGACGGTCATAAGTATGCTGCCGTGCGCATCTTCAACACCAACACGTCCAAAGTCATTCTTTCCCGCTTCAGAGTCGATGGAAACCCGCCCAGATACTGCCCTGACGGCGGCTACACTATGGACGGTGTTCCTGGCACCAACTCACCCATCACCTTGAGCTTCTTGGATCCTGCCGGGGCTAAGACGGGCAAGGCCCTTCCTACAGGAAATGCTTGCGATTGGCTGCAGTTATCGAACGACAGGTCCATAAAGGCATCTCTGGTGGATGTCAGCAACCCCGGCGTCTTCGTCCGCGCCTGTGATTTGGGGATTCCCTCTGCCGAGGACCTCACACCTCAGGCCATTGAAGCAGATCCAAGCCTGAAGGCCGCCTTGGACGAAATTCGGCGTGCAGGTGCGTCCGCGATGGGCCTGGAACCTGGCGTGGAGAGCGTGCCCAAGATCGTACTCCTCTTCTCCGATACTCGCTCACCCGATGTCGATATTCGCTGCCTAGCCATGTCTATGGGACAGGCCCACAAGGCTGTTCCCCTGACGCTGGCGCTGTGCCTCGGAGCGGCAAGTCAGATACCGGGAACTCTTGCGGCCCAGATTGTTGGCAGCAAGCCAAGAAAGTCTGTCGTTATAGGGCATCCGAGTGGGAAGGTGGATATTGGGACCACCTTTGAGGGCAGCAAAATCAAGTCAGCAGATCTCCACCGTACTGCGCGGGTGTTGATGAAGGGTCAGGTATTCTATTAGCAGAACGAGAGATGCAACGCTGACATCGTCACCGCCATGGACAGCAATTCGCTGTGGTGTCGTGTCTCGGGCCCGAGGCATTGGATGCTGACGTCCGGTGTGATCGAGACGGCGGACAGCCATAGACATCGGGCGGAGGCGTAAAGGAATCCTGGGTATGCGCGCTTGTGTAACACGAGATTTCAAATAAGCGCCCCGTGTCCATAGGGCCGACCTTTGCGCCATAACACAGCGACTTGCGAGCCGGAGTACAAGATAACGAGCAGGATGTGGAGAGGAGCACTGCCGGACGGAGCGAGTTCCGTTGATTGACTGGCTGAGCAGAGCAATCGTTTGGGCTTGCGGTGTACGGACGTAAAAACCTCTCGTTGCGCCTAACGTCTGACATGCATTCAACGTCGCCTACGACCAGGGACGATTAGCTTCTCACTGCGTCACACCTTTGGTAGTGGGGGCTGTAAATGGCTCACGAAGGTGCTCGACAGCTCTAGAACCCCAGTCCGCAGAGGCCGGCCGGGGGGCGACGTCGGGTGGGTGTCATGCCGGACCCCGGTCTTCCACGGGAACTGCAGCCAGGGTCCGGAGACATCAGCCAGGCAGCAGCATTTTGCAAAGATTAATCGACAACTCTCCATTCGAACATGTTTCGTGGTTCGACAAGCTACGTCGCTCCCCGCACGCAACCATGCATCTCGCAGGCGCAAGAGTCTCTATACCAAGAATCCTCCGCACCGGCACCCGAAGAGGAAACATTTCCTCTTTCGGAATTGCCGCCAGTCAATATGCACGACGTTGTCCATCTCCACGATAGGGCAACCCCATTGGCGAAGCGTACGTGATTCTCTAAGTGGACAGACAACTCATTCGGAAGTGATGCCATAAGAAGTTGTCTGTATCCATCATGTTAGACGATGTTTGAAGGAGGTCGGCCCTGAAGGGCTGCAGAGTTTCAGCAGCCGTCAATTGCATACCTCTTTGCAATGTTTGTTACCAACATGGACCACTTCAACGCCACTGTCCACAATGGGAATCTTGTCTCAACGCGGAGGGGGCTCCAAGTCTCCAAGTCGAAACACCAGGGAACCCAGTTCATCAATACTTCCGCGGCTTCGGACTCAAGCCGCGAGGAACCTAACGCTTCAGACTCCTCGCGACCACTGGACCAGAAATACAAGTTCTTGAGCCAACAAAAGGAGCCCCGCAGAAGCGTGTCAAAACGCGGCAAGAGTTCTCATAACTCGTCGGATGATGAAAAGTACCGGGTGCGCAAAGCCAGGGCATCGAAGAAAGCCCAAGAGCCCGGCTTCGTCATGGAGACCTCGGCACAGCTGGGAACCGTCGAGGCTGCCATTTTTGACGACACATGGCGCATTCCCCGGAGCCCCATCCCATGGCTGGCCTCGTGGATGGGGAATCTTTCCGAGAGGGAGAAGTGTCTCGTACAACTCTACCTCAAGCTGGCCCCGACGAAGATGTACCCGTGCGAGCAGATTCTCGAATACAATCCGGTTCGAGGGTCTGCTTTCATCGAAAGAATCAAGTCCAGCGAGACGAGCCTGAATGCCGTGCTCATGACGGCCTGCTACGCGGAGATGTTCCTACAGGGCGAATGGTCATCTCCAGAGTTGCTGTACCACGTCTCCAAGGTGTGCAGCCTGGTTAATGACAGGCTTTCAGACCGCACCAAGAGAGATTTCGACCAAGGGATGCTTGAATGTGTTGCTCAGTTAGCCATCACGGGTTGGAACGTGGGAAGATATGATCATTGGAAGGTTCACATGCAGGGTCTTAAGCACATGATCGAACTAGAAGGGGGGATGAAGAGGGAATGGAACTACCTCCTAAACATGATACGAAGGCAAGTTACCCTGTGTGAATAGTTGACGTTTTGCTGACCTTTTCCATGCAGGGCTGACGTTAAAGGGGCCGTCTACCTGGGCCTCTTACCGTACCTTGATTATCCCAGGTTCTTCAATGCAACTACGGATGCACTGCCGGATCAGGTTCGCACGAGAATTGTCAATGAAATGTCCAACGTTCTCTACCAGTGCGGGCTTCAGTCATACCTCGCCAATGCCATGATATCAACAGCTCTGTTCGCGGGCGTGCTGCGCCTAGCGTTCGCGAGCCCCAACCGGGAAGTTCTTCTCAACCCAGAAGCCTTTATTGAAGAATGGCTTTGGTGTGAGTACCAGCTTGTGTTGTACGGCGGGGCACTCCGTGAGGATTGCCTCAATGACTCTCTGGGGGAGCTCGACGAGCTCACCGTCGCCGCCGACCTCGGGAACTCCGAAGCCGTCGCCGCGGCCATGGTGCGCAGTCTATACACGACCAAACCGGTCCCTTCTCCGGCGGAGAATCTTCTCGAGCCGGTGCTGCGCACGGCTGCGATTGTATACCTTGAGACGATTGTACCAGACGAGCCGCGCAATCCGATGGTTTACTCCGTGCCCCTGAATCTCCTCTCAGCGTCAGTGCACAAATTGACACAAAAGTTACAAGAACGGCAGTCTAGAGAAGCAGATGACGGCGAAGGTGATTTGGACGACGGTTTGCCGTCCATGGAGGCCCTGAGGCCGGTCATGATATGGGCATGTCTGGTGGGGTCCGTCATGTCCAAGCTCTGCGAGACGGATCTGGTCACAATGGGCATCCTGTTTGATCGCGGCTACTATGGGCAGTGTCTGTCCCTCGTTATTGGGCCCGAGCCCGAGCATGTCGATCGCCTCACCGAGAAGGACCTTGCTCTCTGCAAACTCCTAGACGCGAGAGGTCTGCGAATCCGGCAGCAAGACGAGCGTGCTCTTCTCAGGGCTCTGCTGAGGGAGCATGCGTACGGATGCCCTCTGTTAGACTTGGCGTATGTGTAACGGACTGGACGTTACATTGGCGGCAAAAGGGACACCACACCAATGATTTGTAAACTGACTTGGTATGGCATCAAGGGTTAGGGCGATGGTGGGCACATTGGTTAGGCGCAAAGGCATTGTTACACAGGCATCTTCGGACTTTGAAATTGAACACTCGAGCACATGCAAAGGGTACACCTCCCGAGCCATGATCCTCGGAATATCCAGGGACCGACCGGCCTAGAAGCCTTGCTCGAACCGTCCCGTGTGCGGTGCAGTGTGTGGAATACGTGCCGCATCCCGGCAGAACGGCCATGCAGGAGGGCTGCATGCCACCTGGTCCTCACTGCGGGCCCGCGACCCGTCCTCACGTCAGGAACTTTTCTTTCCCGTCGTTCTTGGGCCAATGGGAGATGCACAACGCCGCTTATCAAAAGGTCTGCTGGCCAATTACCTAGGTACGTCTTCATGTTCGAAATGTCGCTGCCTTGAGCTCGGTGGTGCTTTTGCTATGCTTGTCGTGCCCGCGCGCTCATGTTGTCATCATCATCATTAAGAAAGAGAGAGAGCCCGGCAGAGGCTCCGCCCGCTGCAACGTTACCCATCGTATGAGAATGACTGAAGAAATAGTAGCATTAGCATGTATGAAGGCGAAAGCGAGCTCGTAGTTGGCAGGACTATCGTAGACTTTTCAGAGGTCGAGGGTGTTGGAGACTCCCAACTGGGCGTTCGAATGAAACATTATCGAATCAGGAGACTTGCATCTCATTAAACCCCAACGTAACCCCATCTATGCACTAGACCTGTACCATCAGATCACCGTTTGGGTGAGTTTAGAGGTACATGGTGTGATGAGTCGAATCCGGGCCCGAGGGCCCGGCTGAGTGGGTCTGTCAAACCCGAGAAACGGCGGTCCAATCCCGGACCCTCGGACTTTTTGTGGAATTGTATAGGGGGCCGAGTGGCCTCAGATCATTCAAAACGCAGTTTTTCCTAATATTCCAGCCGCTACGTACGGCAGAATATGTTAGAAGAAAGAGCCTGGAATAATGCCCGTTGGACAAACGACCTGTCATGGTTCCTTTGTGCTGCGACAAGTTGGTGTGACCGTCGATCTTCGCCGCGGGGTCTCTCTGTCGAGTTAAACGCGCGTCTGTGGCCTGGCCCCCATATATGCTGTGTTACACAACGCTTCACACCATCACGCATGCGCGTTCCTCAGCACAGCTGACAGCGAAGTCGGGAATCGCTTCACCCGTGCGTCGGGGGGTGCTCTTGGCGTTGCTCCTCGGCGGGTTAGACGTGGCCGGCGAGTTTTCAACTTAAACGGGGGCTTCTTGTTGGTGGAAAGGTTCCCTTAGGGACTTTTACGGAACCGGCATGGCACGCAGTAAGCTCAGTCTCTGCATGCGAGTATGGGCTGTCGTCTGGTTGGGAGCCCAATGGACCGGCCGGGTCTCCGCCACTGCGAGTGTGATGATTCGGCGTCCGACTCCCGCCAAATTTCTGGGGATTTTGTGCAGATGCGGAGTTGCTTTGGTTGGTGAGGACAAGAACGCTGCTTCAATGTCCAGCAGCCGTTCCAGGGCAGAATCCCTGCCCTTACATGGCTCTTCTAGGCAGAAGCATTCCTAGAGAGCAACTCCACTGATAAAGCCAACTAACTTATAGAAAGCTGACTTCTTTTACATTCGAATTTCTCTGATTACATGCTGGACTTTTGGCATGACAAGAATGGCTGTACTTTTGCTCGGGGGCCACTGGCTTCGTGGTTGTGCCCTCTATCTCAAAGAGCGTCCCAGGTGTGTTCACAATTCACAGGCATATCAACATAAGAAGTATAGGGAGCGTGTTTTATTGTTTTGTGTAGACTCAATAAGATATATGAGCAATCTCTTCGCATGTGCCAAAGCTGGTAGTCCCGAGATCCGTCATGTTCTGGTTCAAGCAGCAGCAGGCGATGCGGGAGCTTCCGGCTTGCGGCCAACAACGCAGTATCTAGCTTTGTTAGTAATTGGGAATCATGCACTGAGCTCAGAACCTACGTTGGCCAGTATGCGTGGATGCTTCGATCCTTGACGTCTTTACGCACATCAACGAGAAATACGTTCACTTCTTCCGGCTTCCAGTCCAAAGCGCGCGTCAGAGGAGCCATGGAGAATGCTTCCAGGCCGGACAGAACGTTCTCGTTGTTCCAGATACCCAACTCCTTATAGGTTGTGTCTTTGGGCCAACTGTTAGAAGGCCACTTATAGACGCTCATGGTAACATCCTGGAAGCCAACTCTGGTCATGAGATCTCGGATCTTAGCCATCTCCACATAGGGCCTCCCAAACTTGACTGACGCTTCGTAGAGAAACTTCGCCCACTTTGAGAACGCGCTATCAGGCTTAAGCGTTCCGTCATCGGAGCGGGGGAAGAGGTCTATCTCCTGGAGTTCGAGGTAACCCCCAGGCTCAAGGTTGCTGGAACAATCACCAGAAAGTCAGGCTCTGAAACTTACGCCCTAGATGCAGATTATGCCTGGCAAAGGAAACTCACTCGTAACATTTGCGCAGATAGATCTCCCAATCACTGATACTCGAGGTCATCAGTCGGCTGTGGATGTATTGGAATGGCCGCGACCACGTCCATTCCTCTTCAATGTCGTCGATCTCAAACTTGACGTTGGGGGGGACACTGAGACCGATATCGTCAGCACACTCTGCAATTCAGTTTTTGACAGGTACTCCGAGGGTGATTCTCACTGTCCGGGCATGATCGCCGACAGGTCGTTTCCATAAACCTGTTGGGGAGAGTCTCGTCAGCTGTTTTCATGTGGTAACAAATGTTACGATATCAGAGATAGTGCCTACATCAGCCTCTGGGTGCTCGTCCCCGAAGTTAAGAGCCCAAATTCCTGTCCCAGTGCCGACGTCGAGAACCCGACCAACAGTGGTGCCCTCTTTGCATGGCGGGGCAACACCAAGCCGGTCATCGAGGGTGAGAAGCCACAACTGGTGGACCAAATCTGGTCATGTTAGCTAGAAGCCTTTGATTCGTTGAAAATACATACCATGTCTTTCGCTCTCCCTTTCATCGTTAGGATAATTGTACTCTGGCACCAATGTGAGACCGTGTCTTTATTTCATTGCTGAGGCAGAAACTGACTCCCGTCCTTGTATCGATGGTAAGTGCGTCCGTTCTCTACTTGGTAGTCGAGGAGGGAACTGCGCAAGCTAGTACTAGATGAGGCAATGCTCTGCGAAAGCACAAAGATCAAAATTGCGTCACTGATTCGATGATTTGAGGCTTGAACTAACTGTTCCGACCTCAGATCTGTTATCGTCATTCTAGGACAGCATTAGCAGATGAACAATCCATGGTGTTGTGGCAGAAAATACTTCTTCATCCACGGCTAGCACCACTTCCGGGTTGTGCTGAGGTTGAGCCATCTCGACTGGTTCAGTAAGCGTGACGATTCACACCAAGAAAGACATAGTGAACTTGAAAAAGAGAAGAAACTATTTGAGAGAAGAGAAAACAGGCTGCGCTGGGGCACTTGAGACCTTTTAATTTCGAAAGTAGCCAAGATTTCCCCTCTTCTTGACCGAAAGGGACAGCATGCACCAACGTGCACCAACGTACATTGACCATGCATCTACGCGCTCGCAACGATGCCATTATTGTGGATCGATGTCACTCAATGCGAATAAAAACAGAGATAATCTGGGCAGGTCGATATTTTGCATGGATGGCTGCAGCCTGATCCGTCCATCACTCGTTGAAGATCTCGCTGCGATAAGTCATATTGAGCCGACTTTGGAGTTCAGATTGGCTTTGACCTCCGCTCTTTCAGATAACAACATCGCTGTCGTTCTCAAAGGGTAGGTCATCAGCCCAATTGTCTGCAAGCTCAACACATCATACGCTGCCTCCATAGCTCAGGATCAATCATTGACCGAAACATCAATTCGAATTATTCGATTCATCTGCATCATGAGCTCCATTCTGTCCTTACTCAAAATCTTAAAGGGGCATCTTGCTGGTAACGCTAGCTCTTTTGCGATCGACAAGCTATTAGTTCTCGAGAAAACCCAGACCTGATGCAAAGACGCTTTTTGAGATCACAATAGGCAAAAATATCAAGATCTGAAATGCGAAAAGTCAGGTTCCTATCAGATCAATAGTTGTAGAGACAGAGATTCCCGGCTACAGTACCACTTCCAGAGTCGCCGAGTCTGTCAGAAGCTGCGTCTGGTTGACAGGGTGACAAGAGTAAACCAACAGGTCAGTCAAACAGATACCAACCTCTCTCTTTAAAGAGTGGAAACCCTGCGGGATATTCACGTTCTAGGGCGTTGATAATGACATGGGTCATGGACTGTGTGCGATTGAGAAACGCTGCTTTCTTTTGTATGATTGATATATTGCGAAATGCCAGGTGTCCAAGTTGACCGCTGGAGTTCTATGAGGTTTCAAATGGGTCTGCAAACATACCAAGACTCATAATCCGTTTGCAAACACCAGTAAGCATCATGTCGCCCTCAAAATGCTCCTCACTCCAGCGACAGGGGTTCATTCAGGGGCGAGCCAACGGCACCTTCTTCTGGAACTTTGGACCGAGCGACCCACAGCGTGAACTTTGATCATAAATCCGTTCGATAGTTCCTAGATGAGAATGGCGTTCTTTCGTATTTGCAGTGTTCTCTGAAGAATCCCATCCAGGTGGTGCGTTACTTAGCCACGTCGCGCCAAGTCAACGTGATTGGGGGACCCGCTCGATGCCGGGGACTTTGTTCTCATGATCACAGATCCAATGTTATCTCGGCCAAGTTTTCTTCTCACCTCCGCCAAGTCTTTCGCATCGCGACTTACCAGACTGTTTCCTCTGCCGCAACCTAGGCACTGGATATCAGGTTCGTTGCAAGACAGTACCCAAGTCTTCTGAATTATTGCCTTGCAGCTTGTCAAAATGCTTCCCACGGAAGTCTGGGACTACGTCGTCGTCGGCGGTGGCCTCGCCGGCACCGTCGTCTCCAGCCGATTGCTTGCGTTGAATAGCTCAGCCAAAATTCTCGTCATCGAGGCTGGCCAGAGTGCGGCTGGTCGTTCAGACATCCTCTATGTCAACTCTACCAACCTGATCCAGGGCGACTTTGACTGGAACGACTACTCCATACCGCAGCCGCAGCTCGACAACCGCACCATCCAAATGGCTGCCGGCAAAGGCCTCGGCGGTGGTTCCCTTATCAATACCTGCAAGTATTCCTATTCGAGTGAGAGATATATGTGCTGATATACTAGACAGGCGGATGGATGCGTGGTGCTCGAGTCGACTACGACGAGTGGGCCGAACTAGTGAACGATTCTCGCTGGAGCTATGAAAGCCAGCTGCCGTACTTCAAACGGACTGAAGAGTACTGGACAAGAGACGTCAATTCCGAACAGCACGGCAACGAAGGACCCTTGAAGATTGAGGTTCCATCAGTCACTGGTCGTGTGTACCCTCTCCGGGACGCCGTTCTTGACTCGTATGCGTCTGTTGGAATCGAGGCTTTGCCAGGACTGGATGCCAACGGAGGCTCCAACATCGGCGTTGGTGAGATTTCTGAGAATCGCCGTGACGGTGTCCGCCAGATTACTCCCGAATACTATTCGCTAGACGGCGCAACCATCATGACAGGCACTTTGGTAGAGAAGGTCCTCATTGATGAGGACGACTTGGGCAATCTTGTTGCAACAGGTGTTCGCCTTGCAAATGGTACCGAGATCCGTGGCAAGCAAGTCATCGCTGCTGCGGGTGCCTATCGCACACCCCAGCTGCTCATGCTCTCTGGTATCGGCCCATCTGACGTTTTGCAACAACATGGCATTGAGCAAAGGGTTGATTTGCCGGAGGTTGGGAGGAACTTTGCTGACCATCCCTTCTTCATTGCTAATTGGAGGCTCGCCCCGGAGTATCGCAACACCACCGTTGACTCTGGCAACCCATTGTTCTTCAAGCCGGAATATGGCCTCGGACAGCCAAACAACTTTGTTGCCTCGTTTAATGTCGAAGATAAGACTGGCCTAATTGAGGTGATCAGCAGTGAGGAAGGCAAGGAGCCAGATGCCGAAACGCACCCTCTGCTCAAGAACGAGAGAACTCTCATGGAGGCTTTCGTGCTGTATGTCAACACCAACCCCAGTCTGCCGTCGAACTACACCTACTTGACAACCGCCAACGTTGGGCTCCTGCCTACCTCCCGCGGTTCCGTCACCATCGCCTCTCGCAACCCAGAAACGCCTCCTCTGATCGACCCCAACTTCTTCGCTTCCGAGGTTGATCGCTTCGTATGGCGCGACTCGATTCGCCGCATGATCCGCATGATGATTGGCGGCGAATCGACTCTTAGCCGTGGGATCGTCGAAGCCGAAGCGCCGCCCGCCGAATTGAAAGCTCTCACGGTGGATTCTACCGATGAGGAGATTGAAGCACGTATTCGCGCGGTAGTTATGTGAGTGTTGAGACCTTTTCCCTGTAAAGAGCACAGACTAACTCGACTTGCGTAGCGGCACCTACCATCCTATGGGAACGTGTGCCATGGGCAAAGTTGTCGAAAGTGACTTGCGGGTGAAAGGGGTCGCCAACCTGAGCGTTGTGGACGCTTCTGTGTTTCCGACCATCATTACGGCTCACATTCAGGCAGCGGTGTACGCTCTTGCCGAACAAGCGGCAGAAATCATAGCCTTTTCATAGACTAGATGCTCAGGCTGGTACGGGTCAGGCACAATTGAAACGTGGATGACTTCATTAGTAATATTTTGGGTGCGAGGCCTCTCTCCTCGCGATGGCTGCTACATATCGCATGTGGTCGACGTTGGTGACGATACTCTGCTATTATTGCTCAAGCTGCAACATGACCTGGGTCGCGCAACTTCCAGAAATGCATGCCTATGATTTTCGGTGTCGAAAAGGCAGTTACACAGGAGAAACGTCGCGAGGCAACCAACAGTTGCCTGCATAAGACGCGGTTAAAGCCTGCCTATCAACAAAGAAAGACAGACACCCCTGCGAGCTGCACGTCTTCCTTATATACCCGTCTGGTTCCATTCAAATGTGGATTGCATCTCTACTTCACCAAACTTTGTGACGAAAATAACGACCATCCAAGACATCAATCCTGATTTTGTTGACTGGATCATCAAAACTGTCAGACCACGCATAATGTCCAATGACGAGTCTGTCTACTACTTCGCCTACGGCTCAAATCTGTCCACGACCCAAATGAAACAACGCTGCCCATCCTCTCGTCTCGTCGGCCTGGCCTTTCTCAGAGACTACACTTTCATCATCAACGGCCGAGGGTACGCCAACGTTGTCCAAAATGGCGCCGACGACGTCGCCAACGACGCGGGCGTCTACGGTGTCGTCTACAAGATTAGCCCCGAAGACGAGGCTTCACTAGACAGGTACGAGGGCGTTCCCTACGCCTACACCAAGGAGTACATGTCGGTCGACTTCGTGAAGCTCAATTGCAGCGAAGCCCATCACAGCTTTTTTATCCCGCACGCCGCCTCGAACGAAAGCGAAGACGGCAGAACTATTGACGACAGGATAGTTTTCAAAGCAGACCGCGTGCTAGTCTACATTGACCGAGAGAGAACAAGCCCCGGCCCGTCGAACGCGGAGTACGTTGACCGCATGAGCCGCGGCGTCGAGGAAGCCTCCGCCCGGCTCGGCCTCCCGGAGGCGTACGTGACTGGGACCATCGGGAGGTGGATCCCCGGACTGAAGATCCCGACCGCCTTTGCGGCTGCTGCCGAGGACCTGTCGTCCAGCGCCTCTTGAGCGAGCTGGATAATGAGGGGCCCATGTTCGGACGCCTACTCTTCCGGACCGAGGCTCGATTCTGAGAGCTTCAAAGTCAATCCGCTCCCATCGTGACGGCACGATACAGAAAAACCCCCCTTCAGCAGGCCTCGAAGACATGAGGCTCAAACGCATAACACACCTAGAAACATGTTACCTCTTGGCAGAGGATGGGACTAATCTTGGCGGTCGCCGAAAAGGTCAGGGGCAGCCGAGGCCACAGGTCCCAGGGGTGAGCCCTCGACCGAGTCGACACAGTAGCTGGAACCGGATCCCGTTTGGGACCACCCTTTTTTTAGTGTTTCCCGGGTCGCACGATCAGACGAATGGGAGGAGAACATTGGTCACGAAAACGGTTTAGAGCAGAAACACCACACCAACAGAAATAGAGTCATGATGAACAGGGCCACCATACATCGTGAACTTCAGGCACAAAAAAAAGCTTTCTTGGATTAGCCAATCATGTGGCTCTAGGTATCTAAACCGGCACGATATGCCCGTCTTGTCGTCTCATCTTGTCTTCCTCTCTTTTTTTTGCTGAATCGTCCTCCATGCCCCTCTCTCCAAAGGAATGAGTGCTGTGCTGTGCTGTGTGATGATGTTTGTGTGACATGCTTGCTGTCCCTCCCCCTAATAACGCCTTGCTGATGCTCAGCCATGCTCATGACAATTGTAGGAAAATAAACGCCGCCGCAATGCATAAAAATGTTGTGTGGTAGTAGAAATCATGAACCCATTACGTTGTTCAAAACGCTTCTCAAAACAAAAGACAGAACCCGGTTGTGAAAGCAGCGCCCACCGCGAGGAGCGATGCGGCAATGGGCCCGAGGGACGGCACCGCCGCGCTGCTGCTGCCACCGCCGCGGACGAGACCGGCGGTGGCGGCGACGGGGTTCGCGACGGCCACGGCGGAGGGGACGGCCTTGCTGCCGGTGCCGATCTCGAGGACGTTGGAGCTCGTGGCGTTGTACTTTGTCTGCGCGAGCGAGACCTCGTTATTGTCCAGGTCGTAGACGACGTACGCGGAGCGCAGGAAGGTGTCGCCGAGGACGTTTGTGCCGTCGCCGGCGGGGGCGATGCCGAAGAGGCAGGCCTGGACGCCGTTGGAGAAGGCGATGCGCTTGCCGGTGATGGGGATGAGGTCGAGGACGAGCTCGTTCATGGGCACGGTGATGACGGGGTCGGAGAAGGTGAAGGTCATGTTGCCCGAGTTGGCGGCGGAGCAGGGGATGAAGGCGACGCCCTCGTCCTGCTGGTAGACGGCGCCGACCATGGAGAAGATGGTGGTGACCATGTCGTCGGGGAGGTAGGTCAGGGAGGAGCCCGAATCGAGGAGCACGGCGAGGGCCATGTCCTCGTTGAGCGTCTTGGAGCCGAGCGTGACCTTGGTGAGGGTGATGAGAAACTCGGAGTAGGCGCTGCCCTGCTTCTGGATCGGGATCGTCTTGAGCTCGCCCTCGTAGTGGTCGGTGTCGACGCCGCCGAAGAGGATGTTGCCCGTGCTGGCCTGGAGGTCGTTGAGGTAGAGGCTGAAGGCGTTGGACTTGATCAGGCCCTCGTCGACCATCTTGGCGGGGAGGTTGTCGTAGGGGTCCTTGCCGGCGCGTCCGACCTGCACCTCGTTGACGCGGTAGCCCACGCCGAGGATGCCCTGCGCCGAGGAGCTCGTGTAGCCGATGCCGAACTGGAAGTCGGTGAGGGTCGACTTGCCGATGGTGAAGGTGTCGGTCGCGTAGTCGCCCGAGGCGCCGGAGCCGTCGACGTAGGATATGTTGAACCAGCTGCCAACGTACTTGTAGGTCGAGGACGAGTTGGCGGCGTAGGTGCCAGAGACGGAGCACGGCGAGCCGGTGCCTGAGCAGAGGCTGGAGCTGGCGGTGTTGACCCAGAGATCGCTGGATCCGGTGTCGAGGTGGAATCTCATCGGTTGCGAGGGTGTTCCGAGGGAACCATTAACAAAGTATAGCGTTTCCTGGGCGGATTGTTAGTTTCCCAAAATCGCTTCGCGAAAAGTCTGATCAACTCACCAAGTTGTCCAAAGTTGCTTGTACTGAACCTCTCCTTCTCAGCATGTCCCTCTTGTTGCGAGTGTACGGTATCGTTTCTCTGTGCAAGTCCAGACCAACCACCTTGGGCGCACCTGCCTCACTCTTCTTCAGAACAAGTCCCTCTGCCGGCAGCAACGAGGCCGCGAGGGCGATTAATGTTGTCGATTTCATCGTGTGTCGGGTATTGTGTAATTCGTATACGGTCTTGTGTTGTTATTGTTGTCGTAGGGCTGATTATGAGAAGTCTCGGGGGCTTGCAGGTCGGCTGGCCTTACAAGCGGGGAGTTGCCGGGGCTGTATATAACAGTTGAGAAAAAGACCGTTGTTGGTTTGCGAGTGGGATTCGTTGCTATGAAGTCATTGACGGCGGCGCTAGTGGTAGTAGTGGTAGAAGAAGAAGTAGTGATTGCAAATTGAGCCAGCTGCAATATTCGGCGTTCGGATCGGGCGCGCGGGACCGGCACACGGGGGTGGGGAGAGGATTCGTCACCCACGATGGTGGCGGAGTTGCGTGTGATGAATGGAAGACTTCGTGGTTGGGGGGCGAACTGGCACCGACCCAAACTAAAGAGTGAAAAGGGCTCTGCACAAACACCACACACAAAATACACACAACTCAGCACAGCACAATTCGCGGGAACCGTGGGGTGGTTCTTTCCCTCCTTCTTTTCTGGCAGTTCGCGACTCGTGTGAGTGCTGGATGAGTAAGGAGCCCGTTTAAAGTAAAAAGGCGGCCAAGCACAAAGCAATGACGGGGAAAAAAAAAATAAGGGAGTCGTGGTGGTAGGTGCAGGAACATGAGATGCGTCGACGAAGCAGCGGGCTAGCTTCTAAAGTATCAAAAGTCAAAATTCGGGGAGTGTTCTTTGAATAGAAACAGCCCAGCAGCGCTGGGCCATGCGACAAGGCGGGAGCTGACACTGCCAAGTCGCAGCACATTGTCCTAAAGGTCTCACACAGTCGCAGAATTGTCCATCGTCGTCATGCTCGGCGGGGTACTGGACGGTGCGTGGACAGGGTCCGGGGGGGCTGTGTGTTGGGACGAGGCCGGGAATGCCTCTCCATCTTTTCCCTTTCATTGTTGGTGACTTGGTGTCGGGTCCTTACTTAGTCCTCGAGTTGTCGTTGTCGTTTGTCAGGGAGAGGGACTGAGCGGAACGCATCCACCTTAGTCACGCTTACACCGGGAACACGCCCGCCAGTCAGAAGAAGGGACGTCGATTCCATTGCATACCTGCCCAGCTGTACTGCTGCTGCTGCTGCCGCTGCTGCAAGGCCTGACTCTTGGGAGAAAGAGACGGAGGCCGCTGCATGTCGTGGGACGACGGATGGGCCAGCGAATTGTGCAGAGGGAAACTCAGGAGGGAGGTAGGGGGAAGACCGACAGGCTCGCAAGCTGGGACGACCCCGGCGTCAACCTTCTCGAACAACCACAATTTCACCAGTCGAGCGTATCCCCATTCCCGATGAAGAGGAAAGCTAGCGTGCATGTCAGGCGGAGCAGACGCGTGGCCGTGCTGGGCCTGCACCCGACCGACGCCTGTTCGGCCTGTCGAAGCCGCTGTGAAGTGGGAGGACCACGGGCTGGGCAGGAGGTCGAGTGGTCGACGTTGTTGCCATTTCTCAATTGCTGCGTGCAGAATTTCTCCCTTCACCTCGCAAACTCGCACTTTCTGTCTGCAGCAGAGTAGCCTGGCAGGTCGCGGACGACGCTGAACGGTCGGTCTGTCTCTCTGTCGGTCGGTTGTGCGGGCGGTGCGGACACCAGGTGACAGGGATGGTGAAACAAGACGCACGAGGGGGTTTGACACTGCAAGCAGTCGAAGGACTGCAAGGAGAAGTCTGAAGTGGTGGTGGTGGTGTTCCTCCCCCCCTTCCCCTTTCCGAGCGAGCGCAGCATCCTGACACGGCTACGCGGGAACATCAGACACACTCTGGAACCAACGACAACCTGCGCAGAACAACCATGGCCGCTGCTACCTTGCCTTACCTGACTGAGCCACAGCACAGCACAGCAGAGCACAACCATTCGTCCGCGGCGAACGCTGTAAACTCCGATGATGTGTCCCAACCCGCTGGAACATGCATCCCGAGGGGCGCCAATTGACGCCAACCAGACGACCAGACGACTGAACGACCATCTCACTCATCGCTCCGTCCGCGACTGACGACGACGGGGGCGTTCGTTTGACGCAGCCTCTAAAAGTGGTGACACACCGACCGTCCCTTCACCGTCCGCTGTGCCGCCAGAGCCGCAACAGCGTCACCTCTCACAGTCTCACTGGTCCCAGAGGCCAGAGGGCCAGCGCAGATCCCGTTCGCGCCGTTCGCGGCTCCGGAGTGTCGGAGACAGTAGTATTCCCATGGGGGGTTTGGGTTGCGTACGAATGCTTTTCGCCCCGAGCCTCCAGCTCCCTCCCTCGAACCTGTCTCACGCGCTCATGGATTGCGCAATGGAAGGGGAAGGATTGTAAGCCTCCCGCTCCCGTAAAAGCTTCATCGGAGCCGACTGAGCCGAACCGCCGCCGCACCCGATGGACTTGGTCCCTCGATGCAGCGATCGCCACGACAATCCGGAGCCACCGAGCCGGTGTGAGCAACCCGCGGCCAGCAGTATTGGAAATAAAAGCGAAAATAAGAAAAGAAAGAGGCAAGCAAGGGCCAAAAGCGGAAGTGGCCCGTCGTCATCCACCTGTTTACCTTCGTCCAAACCCGCCTACCCAAGCTAAGCCCCTCCCATGCCCGATGCCGAGATCCGACGGCCGGGATGTGGCGTCGTCCGGGTCCCCAGAGAGCCCCAAATTCCCGGCGCTAAAGCGTCCAGACAGGAGACAAGACAGCTCACTAATAAAGTGTCGGTGACGACGGAGGCGCGGCATGCTCCTCTTGGCCGCAATCTCTGCTGCCAAATGGGCCTCTCGTGTTTGGCTGTCGTCGTATTTTCATGACTGACAAAATAAAAAAACAACCTCGGAGTGGGCTGCACGGAGGAAGAAGAATATTACTTAAAAATGAGGAGACAAATCCACTCTGCTAACGGTGCAGACCGCGGCACCGAGATCGCATCGTAACACTGCGATTAAGCGTGGTCGCGTTTTTGTGCAATGCAAAGCCACCCGAGTCACCGATTCGTACACTCATTCGTTCTATTCCCGCTCACTTTTGCTGACCCAGAAAAAGCTAACCCAGTAAAAAAGGAAAAAAGGCCGATTTTACGATGGGGGTCCTTTTTCCTGCAGGAGATCTCCAGAATTAAAATCCTTCGACCGATTGTGACTGCAACGGCTTTTCTCCCTTTCCCCTTGCCCCGTGCATCGTCGGACTTTGCTCCTAGTGTACCTCGTTCACGTGATGGTCTCCCCTGTTCTTGTCCGATGAGGTTCCGCTGGGTCCACCCCGTCCACCCCGTCCGGGCAACGACCGCAGGCCGGATTATCTTGCCCCGCTCCCGAATCGGCCCAACTCCGACTGGCTTACACCCACCACCCTCACAACCGTCATCTTGAACCAATCACCATGTCGTTCCAAGACCTCTCTGCAGCACAAACGACACGCAACGCCACGCGCATATCACTCGCCCGACGGCTGAAGCTGGCTGATAAGGTTCGGGACTGGATTACGCCGTTGCGTATGCGTGCGAGTCGACGCTGCCTAGGTACAACGTACAATTGGGACAAGGAAGAGCAGACATAACCCGAGAGATGAACACTGGAGTAACCATTCTCAGCACTGAAAATAACACGAAAGTCTTCATAGAAGAGCGCAAGAACATCTGATAACCATGTTTGAATAGCGTGGCCTATGACCTTGTCTGCATGAGCCGTGGTTGGGTGGTCAGCCCGGATCTGTCTCATTGGGCGGCACGCCACCTAAATGATCCTTCCTACATTCAAGAGCAAAGAAATGACTGCAAGTCGGACAGCCTTGCGGCGCATGCATCCAGGCAGCCGTGTGACAGCCCAGATAGAGAGTCTCACCGTAAGCGTAGATAAAAAGAAGCGAGCCTCAGACATCATGCACCATCTTCAGTCTCCTCGTCGTTGTTGTACTGGACTTAATCACTTTCGCTTTCACAAACCGAATACCTCGTGATAACCACTTACACCCCGTCAAGATGGACACCATCGACTACGTCGCTCTAGACCTCTGGTACGTCTCCCCCGTACGCACCGCCAAAGGTGTCAACGCCATGCTGACCCCGCTCACAGCCCGGCCTACTCCGTAAGTATCACCCCCCCAAACCCGTGGCGTGACCCCGTGCTCACACCGCGCAAGACCTTCTTCGGCGCAATGGGCTGCGCTGTCGCCATCATCTTCTCCGTCTTCGGCGCCGCCTACGGCACGGCCAAGTCCTCCGGCGCCATCTTCCACAGCGGCGTCCTGCGCCCGGACCGCCTGATGCAGAACATCATCTGCCCCATCATGGCCCAGATCCTCTCCATCTACGGCCTCGTCGTCGCCGTCATCATCTCCGGCCGCCTCAACAAGAGGGGCCTGGCCCTGCACAACGGGTTTCTGTTCCTGGCCGCCGGCCTCAGCGTCGGCATGTGCGGTCTCGCGGCGGGCTTTGCGATCGGTGTCATTGGAGACTCGGGAGGTGAGTTTAGTAGTCGCCTGGTTTGTCATATTTGCTAATGAGCCATTCAGTGAGGGCGAGCACGCAGCAGCCGCGTCTGTACGTCGGTATGATCCTCATCCTCATCTTTGCCGAGGTTTTGGGACTTTACGGTACCATCATCGGCATCATGCTTGTATCCAACGCAGTCAACGACTGTCAGTTCGGCCCATGAGACAATTTCTCACTAGGCTTACGAGTAATGGAAGGAAATCATGCCGTAAACGACGTGTCTCTTGGAAACTTAATTGATTGAACGCCGGGTATTGCAGCCATCACGCTCTCATGCAAGGGTACCATACATGTACAAAAGATACGCTCTAATTGGCCCCCGCCCATCTATATCTTCCACTCGTTCAGGTTGTCCTGCGGCGTGACAAAAGGCTCATTAACCCTCTTGATGGCGAACTCACTGCATAGGATGCTATAGATTGTTAGTAAGTAACGCAGGAAACCCCCGAGAATGAGACTTACCATGCAGACGCCACCAACGAATCCAACTCTGTAATCATGGCTTCCCTCTTAGCCCCGCTGACGAGGCCCTTGCTGATCTGCACTTGAAGCTCGCGGATCCTCTTGCTCGTGCCGACGCCGGCCTGCTCAAGCACCCTCTTGCCAAGACAGTCGGAATGGAACGAGTGCTGGCAGGGGAACACAAAAAACTGCCGGCTAAGCAGTGGCAGCCCACACACGTAGCACTTCTCGCCCGGTTCGACAATAGCGTACCGGTGGTCGAGCGCGGCAATGTCAATCTTGATGTTTGTTGCCGTCTGCGACGACTCATCCATCTCCTTCTTCAACGCATCGATGTTGCGGCTGTAGTCCTCAAGCGCCGTACAGATCTCCTCCTTGAAATCGTCGATGACTACAAAGTCGGGGAAGAAAGGGATGAGATCTTCAATCTTGAGCAGTTCACACCGCTTCAAAAAGTCAATCGCCGTCTTGATGCCGTTTGATTGAGATATCACTTTGCGGGCTACTGCAAGCCACAGCTTCTTCCGCAACGGCGCATCGTTCATGGGTCTGTCTGCAATCACCGACGCCAGGTCCACCTCGTTGTGCGACAGCGCCAGGTCGACGGCTTGCAGGTACTGGCCCATGCTAGTGTAGATGTGCACGCAAGAAAGCGTCCGGTGATGCTGGATGCACAGACGAAGTGCAAAGTCCGGATCGTAGTTGGGCTCGGGCCCCTGAGACTCGAGATATGACAGCAGGCCAGCCTCGTCCTTGGAGCTGTGCGAGGCATACATCGAAATTAGCGTGTTATGCACTGCCGAGTCCTTGGAACTGAGCTGGATAATGACGTATTGGAGGTACCGAATAGCCTGGTTCTGCAGCAAGCTGCCCTCGAAGTTGCGGTTGTACTCGAGCAGCGCCGGGATGAGCTTTCGGGGCTTGAGGTCCGAATGCCGCATCAGGATCTCGACTAGCTCCGTCGCGACGTGCGTCATGAGCACCGTGCTGTGCCGGTAGAACACCTCCGGATCGGTCTGCTTCTTGAGAACCTTCAGCACCTCGTCCCACCGCTCGCGCTGGACCCAGTATGACAAGACGTAGTTGTAGTCATTGATGGCGTTCGCGAAATGCAAAAGCTCCTGCTCCCGGCCGTGACTGCTGATGACGTCGTAAACTGTCCGGCGATCGAGGTCCGACTTGTACTTGTTCACAAATTCCTGGAACTCGCTCTCGACGGCTCGAAGCTGCTCCCTAGACTGTGCCGGGTTGAGGCCGTCCGCCAGCTCAGCCTGCGTGATGATGGTGTCGTCCAGAGAGTTTAGCTTCGCCATAAAGATCTCCACGAGCCAGCTGGCAATCATGATCCGCTGCATGACCGCAGCTTTCTTCAGAGTGGCCAGCTTAGCCAGGAGGTACTTTCGCAGAGCGTCGGGCTCACCAGTGTCGATGAATGTCAGAGCCACCTCCTCGAACGGCTTATTGCTGCGGCCGTACACTGCTGCCGCGTCCATGAACTGCCGCTTCTTGACGAGGTAGTCACCATAAGCAGTGGCTACCGTTTCCCTCTGGAGTGGCGTCTTGGCATGTTGCAAGGCCGCGTCGAACTGTTGTAGTTGAAGCATGATCTGCCAGATATTTCGGTCCTCTTCGTTGACGACAACCTCAAAGATCTCCTGGCTGGTGAACATCCAGAAAGTATTCTTCTGCAGGTCGACACACAGGCTCACTGCCTTTTGCCCGGGCTCCAAGACCGTTTGGTCATACACAACCTGCCCAGTCAATCGGTTCGTAGCAACCACACGACCGCCAATCAGATTAACAATGTGCCATTGCGTCAGCACAATCGCCTCAATAAAGTCCGCTGTCATATTACGTCTGCCTGGCCCCTCGGACGAGCCAAGCTGTGACCGAGGCAGCATGCTGGACTCAGCAAAAATCTTGCTGCCTTCCGCGCTGGATGCGAGCTGCCCGTGGAAGACACCTTGTGCCGAGAGCCACGCGTAGGCTCTCTCGTGTGCCTCATCCTCATACGGGTTTTGATCAGGAGGGTCCGGTGAGACAACCAAAGCGGACACGGCAGCACCAGACGAGCGTGACAGCTCGTGGATCGTGGGCTGCTCCGACTCAAAAAGCTTGGTGTAGATGGAACCTCCGCTGTCATGGCCGCTGCCGACCTTGCCAGCCAGATGGAACAGCCGGCTCTGCGTCGCAATCAGAACCCGCCGCATGTCTGCCCGGCCGGGGAGGGTGTCGGCCCAAAGGCCCGTGATGGGTCCATCCGGCAGCTTGTGCAGGTTCTTGAGCTTGATGTCTTTCTTATAAAACTCCGAGGTCGTCTCAATGAATGCCTCGTAGATGTTTCCGTCGGATGCACCGAGAAGGATCTCCCGGGTCGAAGCGGTCGGCAGCGAAGGGTTCCAGGCGACGCTCTCGATCGAGACCCCCCGCAGGCGGGCGAGGGCTCGAGGATGCTTGTGTTGAGAGTGGAGGTAGTAGTTCTCCCCGAGCGCCGTGCATATCAAGAGATGTGAAGCTGTCGGGTCGAGAAACATGCGGCGAATGACGCCAATTTCGGCGGGTTTCTTCGGTAGGTCGATGTCTGTCAAACAGCTGGTCAGCTATGGGAGCCTGCATCGCACGGCTTTGAAGTGACGCACCATCAATGTCTTCGGGCCTGTTCAGGTCGATGCGAAGGATGCGCCCGTTCGAGAGCGCCAGAACGAGGACGTTGTTCGCGACTTGGGCGGCGACGAAGTCGGCGGCGATGGAGAACTGCAGCTGGACTCGCTCGACGATGAACATGGGCAACGCGGCGGCGTCGTCCAGGTCGAGCACCCCGTTGCCGGCGGCGAAGCCGTCGGACGGATTCAGGGCCATGGTCGGTTTGTGGGCGCGGTCATACGGTCATCGTCGCTCGGTGTCGGGTTGGCAAGAGTGCTGGCGAGGTCGCCCGCTGGGTATGCGCATGGAATGCACTCTCTGGAGGCTGAGTGTTGATGCCGATCGGGCGGTCGGTCGCTGTTGGATGGCGCACACCTGGGAGGATGACATAGGCAGGGAGCTCTCTCCTCGGCCCCCACCGCAACCTGGGAGCTTGAGTACGTACCGACACTCGCTGTCTGAGCTCACGACTCTTCCATGTTGATAGCTCCGGGATCAACCCAACGATATCTTGACTTTACTTTAGGTGCAAATCTTTTCAAGAGATTATAATTATGTCAAGCATCACCTGGCTGAGTTGATTTATTGATCGACGGGCTACGCTACTACTCCCTAGCCCTTACAGCCACGGCTCATCCATCATACACCTATGACCTGTCAACGCAACATCCGGTTTGACCACCGTGATTCTTTTTAGTCCACCTAAACCCCGGGAGAGTAAAATATGTAAAAGATATGCTAGATGACATCGCTAACATGACCAGCCACTATCCGCCGGTATGAAACGCGATATATGCAAGATATGAGAATAATTCGTGCTCTGCCGAGTTGTTCGTCACTCGGTCAGAGGGGTTAGAGAATTACGACACCAAACTGCCTCCTCTTCCTCCACACTATGATTCACGAGGCTCGCTTATGCCTCGGATGCGTCCTCGTCAGCCCTTCGCCTGCTGTGGTTGTCCTCTCTCGCCGTATCGTCGGTTTCTGACGCCTCGTCCAAAGAAGTCGGGAAGGTTCTTGCTGGCGGCACCGGCGCATTGAGCGGCTTTCTTCCGACCAACACTCGAGCCTTGACAATCAGCCCGTGAGACTTGATGGGATCCCTTGCCAGACGGGCCATCTCCTTTGCAACGTTATGACACGCCTCCTTAACCTTGTCTGGCTCCCAGCCCATGTACGTCGTCAACGGCCTCAGGCACTCTGCCTCCAAGCCGTCAATGCAGACAATCAACCACAGCTTGCCCTCGCCCGTCTCGACGTTGATCGGGATCGTGTGTTCTGTAAGTTTGATGTCTGTAAATCCGGCATCGCTCAACATTTTGGGGTTCATGTGTGATACACCTCTAGCGCGGCCGGCTTTTTGGCCCGCGATCGTGAGGTCCCTCTGCAGCTCGTGTATCTCGGACGAGGGAGGGAATTCTGACAAGAACTTCTTGAAGCCCTGCTGGTCATCCCACTCAAGCAGTTCGATCCAGCCGCCGGGCTTGATGACCTTGTAGGCTTCCTGGTAGATGAAGTTCCAGTCCGTGAACGCCGCCATCATGTGGCGGAAATGCACCAAGTCGAACGAGTTCAGCTCGCGTTCCCACTCCAGCTCGGCGTCGTCCACCTCAAAGAAGCAATTCATCGGAATTGACGTGGGCGCGATGGCGGAAATGTCAGTGCCAATAACTTCGCAGTTTGGGAACTCGTCCGCCATGCCGATCGCCCACTCGCCGATGCCCGTGCCAATATCCAACACTCTTGTCGGGTTATCCAGCGGCACCGTGCTCAGCTTGCCGTCGAAAACATGTAGGTATACTCGGTGGATCAGGCTCATGCGGCACATTTCCCATTCATCGTTTGGGAGGTGGTAGTGCGGGCCACAGTACCGACGGCCATTTTCCCATTGATAATCCAGCTCTCGCTCCATGAAGGAGCGCGTTGACGACCTGCATCTTGTCAGCCATTGTCTCCGTGGCCCTCTGAAACAGGTTTCACTCACATGTCTTGATGGCTCTGGGCCATGCCATAGGGCATCTCGGTCCGGTGCGACTCGCTCGGTCGTGGGTAATGGCTGGGCGCGAACACGGAAAAGCTATCGTCGTCGTCGTCTTCTTCGTCGACCTCCATAATCTCCTCCTCTTGCGAGTTCCAGTCGTCGTCGGCGTCGAGACCGGCCTGGGAGGTCTCTTCGGTGCTCATGATGCTCGTCATCTCGGTCGCAGCGCTCTCGCTCTCGCGCACGCCGCTGGACAGGCCGTCGCTCGAGTGCGAGGCGAGCTCGTCGGTGGTGGACATGCTTGAGGCGCCCTGGGCGGGGTCTTGTTTCGTTCTGGTTCCCTTCCGCTTCTTGGTGCGCCGCTTCTTGGCCATGGGCGGCGGCCGGTACCCGTGTGTCTGTGCCACCCGCTGTTGGAGGTCCTATCGCAGTGCAGAGTGTCGGCGGCGCCGGAAAATCATATCATGGCCCGCGGGGAGAGACGGAGGGGCATGTGCGGTGCGGTTGCGGTTGCGGTTGCGGTGCGGTACGCGCGGGTGGGCGGACGGGCAAGGCGGGCGTCGATAGTGGTGGTTATTTTGAATAAAGGGGCGGGTGAATTGGGCGGCCCACAAACGGAAGGGGAGCGGGCGGGCGCGGGCGCTGTCGATTTTTCGACGAACGAATCCGGGCCGTCGGTCGGCTGGTTCTCTACCTAGTTCGGGCTGGCGTGGAATGTGAAGAGAAGCCTTTGAGAGGCGTCGGGTCTTGGCGGCGAAGAAGAACAAAAGAGAGGGAGAAAGCGAGAGAGAGGGACGGACAGGAAGACGGGCCTTTCTGATGAAAGAGGGAGGAGGGCCTGGGGGACGTTTTGAGGATAGGTAGGTACGGTACGGATAATCAGGCGACAAGACGCAGCAGCGCAGCGCAGCGTAAGGTATCCGTAGAACAGGCACTGGAGCAGGTAAGGTAGGTAAGGTAGGATCAGAACTGAAGGAGGAATGGGCTGGCCCCCGGGGAAAGGTCCTAGTGTGGTGACGGTGGCCAGTGCATGCTGCGCAGGATCCTGACAGCTGCCGGGATGGGACGTGGGAACCGGCGATGGATTGGGAGCAGCGAGCAGCGAGCAGCGAGGACGGGTCCAGGGTGGAGAGCGTCCTTCAAGGGTCCCTTTTGGCTTTTTGGCTGTTGGACCGTGATGCGCCCGAGGAAGTGGATGTGAGATGGGCGGCGGCATGCGCCGTTGGCTTGCTTGCTTGCCGCACCTCTGCCGTGGACTTGGACATACCACGGACAACATGAACCGCGGGAGCTGCCTCTGGTTGCTGATGGCCATGTCAATAAACGGCATCTTAATGGGGGATGGGGGGAAAGCCAAGTTGTCAGTCATAAGGCATTCGCATTACCAATGCTATGCTGCATGTCTTCCTTTCGTTCGTTCCATGTTTGCGTGCTCCGTCAGAATACAACAGCAACAGTCAACAGCTACAACAACGTCGCTCCATCTGCAAGGTCAGTCAATCGTTAGCGTCGTCCAAAACATATTACACGGCACAGAGTGAGGTGAGCTCTGCCAATGACACCGGGCCAGACGACCAATATGCTCCAACATGCTCCAACATGCTGCCCTGTCGTCGCACCCAACACATGCAACAGACGCAGCAGCCCCTCCGTCTGGGCCCCTCGAATGCATGAGAGAAGAGACCAGAAGCCAAGCTGATTCGACTCGACGCACTTGGGACGGCCAACGGGACGAAGGCTACTGCAGTCCAGCGCAGCTTCCCCTATGCACGATGGAGTCCTCGCGCGCACAGTTCTCTCTCAAGTGCTACCTTACCTACCTTAACCAAAGAACCAAAAGACCAAAAGGCCCGCCAGCCAAGCATCCGCGCGTGTGGTTCACTGGCTTCCGTCCCACGATAACGGGCTCTTCTTCGCCATCCAAGTCCGAGGACGAGGGGAAAAAAAAGGTAGCCCCTCTCTCCCTCCTCCCCCCGCCGATGCGAGCCCAGAACTGTTCAATCCCCCGGCCCCAGAGTCTCCACTACACTTCCGATGCTGCAGCGTGGTTGGCCCGGCTGACGGGGGTGGCTGGGCCCGTGTGTGGGTTCTCCGGTTCCCCGCCCACCCTTCGCTGCCCAGCAAACTCCAGTCCCAAGGCACCACACAGCAGCAGATTGTCATTTCACCCGGTGCACACCCAACCCAGTCCGAACACTCCAGGGGGCCACGTCTGCCGCGAACATGGTATTCGTCGTCGGGCAAGAGAGGGAAAAGGAGGCAGGACGCCTGGCCGAGAGACGAAAGCCGCAAGTCTGTGCCCATCGACGCCGCTGAAGAATACGGGTCCCCCTTACACTCTTGGCCCTTGGGCACCGAATACCGGGGGGTTCTGTCTCCTCTACGGATACTTGTCGGCGTCGTTTCATTCGTCCGGGCGGCGGAGGCGGACACAGCTCCGATGGGCAAGTGAGCGATCGTCAGGCAAAGCCCGGCCCGGATATCAGCCAGGAGACAGGAGACAGAACCACAGATACGGAGTTAGAAAGCAAACAAAACCGAAGGAGCAATAGCTGTGCCAAAAGTGCGAGTCTCTCCGCCCCTCCTCCTCCTCCTCCTCCTCCTGCAGAAGTCTTCCAGTGATCCCGACCCCCTCCCTCCTCTTGCTGCTGGGTTTAAATGGGAACGCACCCGTCTGCGTGGTTCCCAAAACGAAGCGAATACCGCCCGCATGGGCCGTGGCCAAGGCCTTTCATGTCCTTCTTCCCCCTCCCTCCCTCCAATCGACGACGACGGCACCCACAGGATGAAAAAAAAGAAAGCCTGATGCGCGCAATCGTGCAAAAAGAGGGGGGGAGATTAATCAACGAGGGGTCGGAATGGACACCCGGCCAAGGGAGCGTGTGTGAGGCTCGGGTCCCCTTGGGACTTCTGCGCGAAATAAACGTGGTTCCAGCCCTCCTCTGAAGGAAGAGAAAAAGAAAGTACGACTACCTTCGCCATACGAGGTTCTGCGGCACAGCTAACCCCTCGCCTGTTACACGAGCGCGGCCGACTAGACACAAGCCCATCATCACGTCACTCTTAGTTTGGAGTCGTTTGCTTGATGCCACCTTGCCTCGACAAAAAACCACCGTAGCCAGAACGACGGAGCTGCAAGACGAAGATGGAACCGCTCACGCCATGTCCGAATTCGTAAAATTAGGGTAGCCTCGGACTGCGAACCAAACATCGCGTCCCCGCGGGAGCGTTACTC